CTACTACTACTACTATTACTATTATTATTATTACCATTATTATTATAATTTTCATCATAATCATCATCATTATTATCACTATTACCATTATTATTATTATCATCATCATTATTATTATTATCATTATTATTATTATTATTATTATTATTATTATTATTATTATTAGTATTATTATTAGTATTATTATTAGTATTATTATTGTAACAAGTTACAAGATTAAGTGTCATTTCAAGTTCTGTGTCATTTTCAGTTGGGCATAGCGATTGGTTTTCTCTTTCCACCGATGCTGGTGCAAAACAGCGAAAATCTGAACGTGATTGGCCAAGGACTGCACGTGATGTTCTATATCGTTGCTGCTTTTACCACCAGTATTCTGGTCCTTATACTTCTCTGTACGTGTAATCGTAAACTTGGCATTAAACAAATCCTGGAAGCGAAAATTCTTGAACGAGGCTCTTTGTGCCATGTGGATGAGAGTAGCAATGAAATGATATCTTCTTTTAGTCTTCAAGTCTGAACCACCGCTTCCTCCGAGTCCAGCGCAAGCCGTGCAAAGGGAGGCCGAATCCACAGAGAGCTTCTTCGTTTCTGTGAAGAAACTAGTCACAAATGTCGGTTATTTGTTGCTGCTGTTCAGCTATGGTATCAACGTGGGCGTGTTCTATGCTATCAGCACGCTTCTCAATCATATAGTTCTTCAACACTTCCCTGTAAGTTGTCTTCTTCATCTATTTCTTCCTTTAATACTTTATGTATATATATAGAATTAGATGAAATCTAATATTTATATATATTTCAATACCTCATACTTTTTTCTTAAAACTAAAAATAATAATTTCTATCGTTGGTTTGTAAATATTATAGAATCACGAAAAAGACGCTGGAAGGATCGGTTTGACTATCGTTTGTGCCGGAATGTTGGGCTCTGTGGTATGTGGCATCGTTCTCGATAAAACGCACAGATTCAAGTGAGTAAATGTTTAGCGGAAGAATGTGCTCTCCTTGTTGATGGTAGGTTCTACTTGGATATCAACTTGAAATTTGTTCGCAGAGAGACAACGCTCGGTGTGTATCTTCTCTCCTTCTTCAGCATGATTATATTCACGTTTACTCTAGATAGCGGTCAAATATATGTTATTTACTTGACAGCTGGCATGTTAGGGTAAGTAAAACTTACCTGCCAAGTGTGATATTCTTAAATATTGTACAATTTTAAAAATGTCAAAAGGGACTTTCCATCTAATGATCTTCTAAATTTTGCAGATTCTTCATGACTGGTTATCTTCCAGTGGGTTTCGAGTTTGCAGCGGAGCTAACGTATCCAGAACCGGAAGGAACGTCCGCTGGTTTGCTGAACGCAGTGTGCCAAGTGTTCGGTATCATTTTCACAATCCTCTACGGTTGTACCTTGAACGCCTGGGGCGACTTTTGGGCAAACATCTTCCTCTGTACTACGTTAGCGTTTGGTTCGTTCCTCACTATCATCATTCCCAACGATCTTCGAAGGCAAAACGCCAAATTTTAAGGCTTGACCTTCCAAAGTCAGAGAATGATCAACCAGCCTTCTATGTGATCGATGGCATTGCGAAAGTAGAGCTTCCGCGTCGAGGGATGAGAAAGACGAATTGTCAAAAGCTGTTCAAAGATGATCGATTCGGTTGAAACATGATAGATAATATTACATAGGACTTCAGGGCCCACGTTCTCCACTCTTCTTGTTACAATTATTCCTTTAGTCTTTGAAGAACATTTTTTGTGCAAAATATTGATGTTAGAATCTTGATGATATAGATCGTTATTAAAAAAAAAAGAAAAAAACAAAAGATATTTCAAGTGAACAAAAGAGCAACAATAGTCCAGATAAGCACGAAAACGTTGGGCATGGTTCAAGATCTGAAATCGTATTGGAATATTTCACGTGGCTTCGTACCTGTGCTAAAGAGATCAGTATGTATTTACGAATGAGATTAATCGTGATATCGTCATCCCTTCGAGCTTAGAAAATCAATGATCTACGCTCAAACTTAATTTCTTTTCTATTATTTCCTCTCTGCGTCGTGACGATTTTCCAGTATCGTGGAGTAGATTCTGTCACGTTTAGAAAACGTTCTGAAACTTCTGTGTTGCATTTCGAGTGAAGGAAAATTGTAAAGCAAGCGGTGAAGAATCAGTTTTCATATAGTTTTAAAGATCAGAGACTTTCGTCGTTGTTTGATGATTTCGAGAAGTGAGTTGCACTGAAGATTTCTCATTTTATTTTACAGTGCTGTCAGTATTATTGTTTCTGAACGAACGTATACTGTCGGCCATAAGTATTTTTATCGGAAAAAAAATCTAAATATCATACTTATGGCAGACAGTGTGCAAAACTACAAACGATGCGAGTTAAGACGAAAGAATTTAGGGTTTTTACGATTGCCGTTCCAGATGAAAGCCAGTATTCGATGAAATAGCGATAAGTTTTTCGTGAATGATATCCTCGTGAGGATCAGGAAGGAGTAGAAAGAATAGTATTGATGATACGATACTTGTAGCGCTTAAATCTTTCCAGAAATATTACTGAGAGATGCTGTACATCCGAAAATCTACTTATTCTTGTTACTCGTTTAAATGTTTTCATCGGATACGTAGAATATACCTCTGAATCTTGATCTTTGTGGACTGCGAAATTATATTTCCTCGATACAACTTACTCATAGAATTATATAAAATACATATATATATATATATATATGCAGAATTTTTAAAAATTATACATCGTTCGATTGGCATATCAAACTCGTAGAATGAACGAACTTTATACGATTCTATAAACGCGTCATCTCGATTCGATTCAATTGGATTCTATAAGTAATCGGAAGCTCGAGTGAAAGATGAAACGACGCGGAAGATCATTTTAATAGGATCGGCTGGTTTTACGGTGCATCTCCGGTTTAATAAGAATTTTCAATAACTCGGTGACCCAGAATCGACGACGTGAAATATGCGAAGGAGCAAATCTCTCTCCACCAGCACGGAAATTCGATTTGCGAGTTGATCGCCTCTAGCCCCGATTAAACACGTTCGTACCTATCGAGGAAAAATTAATTACCGCGCGAAGATCGGTTTAGACAAGCTAACAGATACCTGAAAATCGATTTATGTCCTAGCTGAAGCTGATTTAGGGAAACATTGAAACGTCGTTAGGTTTGAAATTCTATTTTAGTCTACGTCTTTAGAGAGCTAGGTATTTAGAATAAGGCGTCCCTCTCGTTCCAAATATCTCCCGTGACAGTACAGGTGACAATAATCGTTAGCTACACG